GGGTGGATTGGCCGTGCTAAATTGTCCCATAGTGCCCAGGGATGTGCGGGTTAGGGTGGGTTGGCCATGGGAAATGCAAGGTTACGTGTTGCAGGGTGTGTGTGTGCGGGCGCATGTGCGTGCCTGTGCGTGGGTTCATGCCTCACTGACTCAGTCAACTTTTTGAGGAGGTGATGAAAATGATTGATGAGGGTGTCCACATGGACTTCAGTAAAGCCTTTGACAAGGTCCCTCCTGGTAGACTGGTGTAAAAGGGAGAGTCACATGGTATCAGGGGTGAGCTGAAGATGGATACAGAACTGAGTTAGTCATAGAGACAGGGGGTGGGGGTGGAAGGATGCTTTTCAGAATGGAGGGCTCTGACTAGTGGTGATCCACAGGGATCAGTGCTGGGACCTCTGCTGTTCATGATCTACATAAATGATTTGGAGGAAAACGTGGCTGGTCTAATTAGTAACTTTGCGGATGATACAAAGATTAGGAGAGTTGTGGATAATGAGGAGGATTGTCAGAGGATAGAGCAGGATATAGATCAGTTGGAGGCATGGGCAGAAAAATGGCAGATGGGAGTTTAATCTGGAAAAATGTGCATTTTGGAAGGTCAAGTACAGGTGGAAATTATACAGTGAATGGTAGAACCCTTAGGAGTATTGATATGAAGAGAGATCTGGGTGTGCAGATCCACAGATCACGAAAGGTGGCAGCGCAGGTGGATGAGGCAGTAAAACAGGCCTATGGCATGCTTACCTTCATTGGAAGGGGCATTGAGTATAAGGATAGGCAAGTAATGCAGCAACTTTATAAAATTTTAGTTAGTCCACACTTGGAATATTGTGTACAGTTCTGGTCACCACACTACCAGAAGGATGTGGATGCTTTGGAGAGGGTACAGAAAAGGCTTACCAGGATGTTGCCTGGTATGGGGGATTGTAGCTACGAAGAAAGGTTGGACAGACTGGGTTTGTTTTCACTGGAACGCAGGATAGTTGTTAGTTTGTGGGATACTCTGATACCTCAGCTGGTACCACGAACCCACGCTGTTGGGTGTCTCTCTGCATCATGAGCCAGCCATCCAGCCAACTGAGCTACCGAAACCCCTACAAAGAACAAAGAGCAATACAACACAGGAACAGGTCCTTCAGCCCTCCAAGCCTGCGCTGACACATTTTGCCCTTCTGTACTAAAACTATCTTCACTTGCAGGATCCATATCCCTCTATTCCCTTCCTATTCATGTATTGATCCAGATGCTTCTTGAATCCTGCTATTGTGTCTGCTCCTACCCCACCTCCTATGGCAGCGCATTCCAGGCACTCATCACCCTTTGTGTGAAAAACGTGCCTTGCACATGTCTTTTAAACATCACTCCACACCCGCCCAGCACCATGACCCTGTGTCCCCTAGTAATTGACCCTTCCATCCTGAGAAAAAGCCTCATGCTTTCCACTCTATCCATGCCATTCACAATCTTATAAACTTCTATCTTGTGTGCACCGAGTTAACACTGGAGTGTCCCACTACATGGCTTCCTATCTGAACTGCAGCTTTAATTTGCAGCTTCTAAAGTGTCAAGTGAATCCTGTGACAGCTACTGATGAACATAAAGGATCTCATACCCACAACCAATAAAACTAATGTAATATATGAAATACCATGCAAGGACTGTGAGAAACATTACATAGGCCAAACTGAAAAAAAACTGACAATAAGGATACACCAACACCAACTAACCACCAAGAGACACGACCAATTCTCACAGGTCTCAACACACACAGACAAAGAAGGACCCGAATTCGATTGGGACAACACATCCATAATAGCATGAGCCAAACAGAGACACACCAGGGAATTCCTGGAGGCCTGGTATTCCAACCGGAACTCCAACAACAAATACACTGAACTGGACCCGATATACAAATCACTGAGAAACAGAACCAGAAGTGATGCCAACCACCCCAGCAAACCGAGGCATATAAATAACAAGTGGGACAGAACACCAACGCTTCACCAGAGGGGCACTGACGGTGTTACCTAGCAGGGTGACAAAACGTTTGCAACCAAACACACCGGCTCAGTGAGCAAGTCTACAACCTCATCCACAACCCAAGCTACCTATCTTCTCAAAAACTTTGAATAAGAACTGTTTGCAGGGATATGGGCCAAGCGCAGTTTGGGATTACAGTCGGCATGAACAGGTTGGACCTTTTTCCGTGCTGTATGACTCTATAAGTCTCAATCAGTTAATTGATCAAACCAATGCTGATAAACATGTCATGTTTGTGATCTTTGCCACTGGACAAGCCGATCATTTTCTGGAGACTGGATAAGTGTCAGGATTTGAACAGACAGCTTCTCTGCATGGAGCTTGCCTCTCAATAAAACTGTAATTCGCTCAGGGAGATTGATTGAGAAGTTGAGGCACAACGGACTAATCACCTGCTCTGGCCTGATGTTTGGACCAGTCCAAGTAAAGGATTGTAAGCAGGGGGTAAGATATTTGTCATTTTTAATCTGTGGTATACTTTGCTTTAATAAAGAACATTCCGCTGTCAGAAGCGCCTTGGGTTACTCATATCCACAGTAAATCCGACAGACCGGTGACAAAAGAGATTAAAAGTTGTCACACCGCAGCATAGGGTCCCACGGACAGATATTGAGAACGGGTGGTCACTCAAAGGAGAAAAGGGGAATGCAGTGCAGGGGCCTGCAGAGGTCCTAATCACAAACTGGTTTTCTGTTCTGCGTAACAGTGAGGGCGATGGATTCTTAAAGGAATGAAGTGAGTACCAGGGCCTGTACCATGTGGGTCTTGAAGCTGTACACTGCACAGGAGGATGAGCAGGACGGCAGTACCAATAGGGGACTGTTTAACAGGCAGCTCAGTGTGACTTCAGGGTGTTTCATTGCTTGGGTCAGGGATGTTATGCAATGAGACAGGGTATCCTTCTGGGGAATGTCAGACGTTGTGGTGCACTAGCGATACAAGTATGAAGGGGGAAGTGGACCCACTATTGGTATTTAGGGAGGAAATTAGCAAACAGGACCCCTAAAGTCATTGTAGAAGCCATAGTAATCCTACAGTGCAGAAAGAGGTCATTCAGTCCATCGGGTCTGCACTGAACCTCTGAAGCGCATTCCACCCAGATCCACGTCATCCCTGTAGCCCTGTACTTCACATGGCTAATCCAACTAACCTGCACCCATCCCTGGACATTACAGGACAATTTTATGGTTGATGCACCTAACCGGCACACAAACCAACAACCACCCTGCAACAGCTCCTGACAAACGTAAAGGATCCCATACCCACAACCAATAAAACTAACAGTGGAAACCGGAGCACCCAGAGGAAACCCACGCAGACATGGGGAGAATGTGCAAACTCCACACAGACAGTCACTCGAGGCTGGAATTGAACCTGGGTCTCGGGCACCGTGGGGCAGCAGCGCTAAACCCTGAGCTATTGTGCTGCCCAGAATCTCCAGATTATGCCCAATGTTACACGCAAGTGAGTTCAGAAACTGGAAAATAAGGCAGATGAATGTGTGGCAGTAAAGCAATGGAGGAGATGGAGGCTTTAGATTACAGGCTCTGGGGGGAGATGTACCTGGACAGGCTGCACCCAAACAGAGCCAGGGTTAGTTTCTTGCAGTGATAGTAGGAACTGCAGATGCTGGAGAATCCGAGACAACAAGGTGCAGAGCTGGATGAACACAGCAGGCCAAGCAGCATCAGAGGAGCAGAAAGGCTGACGTTTCGGGCCTAGACCCGAATTTTAGAAATTCTAGAATTTTAGAATTCTAGAAATTTCTGAAGAAGGGTCTAGGCCCGAAATGTCAGCCTTCCTGCTCCTC